AGTGATGCAAATGAAAAACAATTGCTCAGTACCAACTGACTGATGCCCAGCTTGTTCCTGAGCAGTATGCCCCTGGCCAGCTTTCCCCCCAGTTTATACGCTCAGCATGATGCCATACGGTATGGGCTGTCCCTTTGGTCCGTGGGGTCAGCTGTCCCGGCTGTGTCCCCTCCCAACTCCTTGTGTACCACCAGCCTCCTCGCTGGCAGGGCAGCATGAAAAGCTGAAAAGTCCTTGACTTAGTGTAGGCGCTGCTCAGCAACAACTAAAACATCAGTGTGTTATCAACATTATTCTCTTCCTAAATCCAAAACACAGCACTGTACCATCTACTAGGAAGAAAATTAACTGTCCCAGCCAAAACCAGAACAGTTCCCCATATTGTTCATGCAGCTGCTAGAGGAGCTTAAAAGACTTACTACTTCTGAGATATTTTTGGTGCTAACTAAGCATGGCTCTCCCTTCTATTTTGTGTCTGTCTTGCTAGGTGGTCATGCCTTACGTGTTGGTGCCTTAGACAGCTCAGTGTCCCATTTTCCCAGTGGCTCGGCTTCCCAAGGGACACAGGGTTCTCCTGCTCCTGCGTCGCGATCAGAGAAGACTAATCCTGCTCCACAGACACCTCTGCAGAAAGAAAAAGCAAACTTAGCTGCGTATGTCCCACTGCTGACACAGGGATGGGCAGAAATCCTAGTGCGCAGACCCACAGGTATCTTGACCTCAGTGTGGAGTGAGCTCTTTTGACTTGCTAAGAAACTGGAGTCGGGATGAAGAAGAAAAATCCATATTTAGTTGCAAATGGATCTCTTTATTGCTTAACTGTCTCTTGAAACTAATACATCTGATACTTGATTCTTTGAAATCACTCTTTAGTGTTTTAAATCTGCAAAACACCTGTGAAAAGATTGAAGTAAGGACTTAAATTTGTATATTAAGTACTGTTACAGAAATAGAGCCAGATAATATCAACCCTGCTTTGCATTTCCCATTTTTACACTGCTCTGTGGTCTTTCTTGAAAATCTGTCTATGCAGTGTTTTAGCTTCCCATGCTAGATTCAAGTTGAATGAGGCTTATGGCTAGAGCAGCTGCATAGTTGTGTCTGCTGTTAGGGAAGGAGTACTGACATGTTCAAGGTCAAAATTCTTGAATACTGGTATGTTACACAACATTAACAGGCAATTGTCTGTTTTAGCTGAAAGTTGCTTCAGGAGAAAATAACTGACCTAGTATCATTAATTAAAATACCTGGGTGTTTTGGATGCCTTTTTGGAATCTGCTGTAGTAATCAGTTACCAAGGATGATTTTTGAAGAGCTTGGGGTGAAGTGCAGAGCACTGGGAGCTACTTACTGAAAATAGGAAATTAAGAGATTCTGCCAAATGTCAGGAGAACAGAGAACTTGGTCCGTTTTGATTTTCACTTGCAAAATCCAAAACAATACTGCTTTTTCGATGTGAGTTGTAAACTTTCTGGAGTTGAGCGTACTTAATACTCTTCCCTAATTTTCTCTTACCAGGTAACACAAGCTGGCTAATGAGTCTGGAGAACCCGCTCAGTCCATTTTCGTCAGATATTAACAATATGCCCCTGCAAGAGCTCTCTAATGCACTCATGGCTGCAGAGCGTTTTAAAGAACACCGAGAAACAGCTCTATATAAATCCCTCTCTGTCCCCTCCTCCAGCTTGGCCACCGGGACAACCAAACCATCACTTCTCCAGCGTTCCAACACAGGTGAGAGATGTCAAGCCGGCAGCATGTCTAGCATAGATGTCACTAGACTGTTTAAAGTCTGTTGAAGTTACTGCAGGTCTTCTAGACCAGTAAAGTTAGTAGCACGAGGAATAACATAGCAATGAGAAGGGGAATCAGTTCTTGTCCCTAGAAGTTTTCAGTGAAAAATTCCCTTCCTCCTTGCTTCTAATGTTCCATCGGAAAAGTACCTCTCTTTCTTAAAGAGAAGAGAGAGGGGAATAATGGAGCTTCTTTAGAGGAGTAATGTGTTTCATGCTAACTGTTTCCCAAATGAAAATTAACAGTCATGGATCTTTTCCCTCTTCCACTTGTTTGGGGCTGATCTGGGCATCCCACATGTGGATGGATCTTCCCATGCAGCGTTTCCACTTCCATTTGTCTTCAGTATGGGAGTTTGTGTTGGTTCCTGGGAGAATGGCCTACTACAAACCTTGCCAGCCAGGGTCAGTTGCCAATGACTTTTATAACATGAGACAGCAGAACGCAAATCCTGTTGGCTGCGGATTTAGTCACCTCTTAAAAGGACTGTTTAGCCTTCAGACTGGCGCAGCTGAATCACTTGCGTTTCTTTTGATGGCTTTATTTTAACATAGTGGCCAGGGCCTTTCACTATATTTACTTTGGTGCTAGTTCACTTCCGAAAGAGCTGTTAATGTTGGGAGGTTAGTGTTGACCAATAGCTGAAATTTTTAAAGCTTTAGGTAATCCCTGCTCAGAGCTCTTATCAACATCATCTAATGCTGAGACTCTCGGCACTGCTAGCAGTATCAAAACTGAGCAGTGGTAAGAACAGACAAGGCTTTTCTGGGGAGGTGGCATCAATGGTATGGATTGTTTGGAAATCTGCTAAAAATGCTGGTTTTCAGGTTTGTTTTAAGCAGGGCAGGATATGATTTTAGGATTTCAGAATGTGTAAACACAAAATTAGAGTCAAAATCAAATTATCATCTTTAAAAAAAAAAATTAAACTTATCTGTGGACGCTTTCATTGGCTCCTACGAATGTGTGGTGTCTGGGTGCTAACTGATTAGTTGAAAGAAGCACGCACCTGAATGCCCCTCCTGTGGCAGTCTGAGAAAATAATTTTGGCCACATTCTTGTTAACACAACTTCTGCAGTAGACTTGCCGGAGCTGGCTGGCAAATGAATGTTTTGAAGAAGTTTTGCTGTCAGACTGTCGTATGCATTCTGTTCTTCCTCTTTAGAGGTCAAAACTGTGTGAATCTTTATCTGCATTTCTACTCTTTAGACTCTTCTGTGGGTTTAAAAATGATCTTTTGCCAAAAGTGTGTAACTCAGGAAAAGCTCAGACTGGTTTCCTGCATGTCCTAGGATATCACTAAGGAATTTTCTGTTTCTAAAACTCACAAAGATGCATTCTTCAAAGAGAGCAGTTTGGGTCTGCATTGTTTGAATGTGTTTATGCCTCCTTACTCATTTTGAGACCCTGTACCCTTAAAGTATCCCTTTGGCATCTAGTGAGCTTATCCCAGCTTGTTCTTTCCTTTGTTTTTTGTTTATTTATTTATTTATTTTAAAATAGGCTCTTGGTTACATTTTAAACTCTGTGCTTTTTAATTTTTTTTTTTCATATAGTCTCTCCTTCCTTTTGATGTAGCTGCTCACTTGATTTCCCTTTGCAGTGGCCTCTTTCTCTTCCATGTACCAGTCCAGTTGTCAAGGGAAGTTGCACAGGAGCATATCCTGGGCAGGTATATTTATATATCTTTAAGGAAAAAAAAAAAAAAAAAAGTATTGCCGTAGAAGAACACCTCTGATTCATAGAAAATGTATCCTTCATACTTCATTTTCCCCTTCCATGTCTCCTGTCTGTACCCAGTCTCATTACTCTCAACAAATGGGATCTTGACTAGCATGAACAAGTCCAAGCCAGATCCAACATTTGCAAGTGCAGACAATTTCTTAAAGCAACTTTTGTTTTAGCTGGGGTAGATTGTGAGTCATGAGGCACAGTGATAAATGACCTGTCAAAATGTCTGAGTGGCTTGATTAATTGAATTATTTATTTTCAGCTTCATTTTACAATTGGCTTTGTGTTCTGCTAAATGTAAAAACTCCCACTCCTGAGAATAGCATAGTATGCTACAGGACAAGCTACCCTGAAATGAAGTCCCATGCTACTCAGCACACAGCGATCTGTCAGAATTGGACACAGAAAAGACAAAAGGAGCTGTTATATATATCTGATATATATACACGTATATAAAATTTTGACATTACAATGGATGCTGGTTAAAAGTTTTTTAAAGAAAAAAAGAGGAAATATATTTCAGGGGAAAACCTGCTAAATTCTAGCTTTTTGAAGGCTCTATAGTAGTGTAAAATCTTTCTCCACTTCAGTAAAATTGACTTTGTAATTAAATGGAGATCATATTGCATACCTAATGAGCACAACACCTGCATTGCTTTGATAATCTGTAATGCTTTGTGATTTTAATTAGAGGGTTGAAAAGTCTTTCTGCCTTCTTTCCTTCACTGGAAAATTCTCTGTAGAGCAGCAGCAGCAGGGTATTCTTAACTGCTGGTTGTTGTTGACATAGGCCTTTTAAAGCAACACAAAGATGCTGCAGTAAAAGAATTTTCTGTACTTCTTCTCTCTGCACATATTACTCTCTTCTCACCTAAAGAATAATTAGTGAGTGCTCGCATTATTTAAAAACACCAGCAATCTTGGCAGTAGTGTAGGAGCTAGCGAAGCTTGGAAACACTGGATATATGCAGGTGTGTTCTGGCTTGGACAGCTAACCAGATCAGCACGTTGTTTTGGGTTTTTTGTTTTGGTTTGGTTTTTTTAGAAGGTATGTGTGTGCAATGCTAACTCTTAATTGCTTCTTTGAAATAACTTTGGTCCTGCGAGCTGAAATCAATCCAGGAAAAGCTGCTTTAGTGATTTTTTTTTTTTCTTCTTTTTTTTTCTTTTTTTTAAATTTTGCTGATTATCTTTATTTTTTGTGTGTGTGCTAATGTTTTTTTTTTATTTTACTTTGGAAAACAAATCTTGACCTTTCAGATTGGTCTTCCAGTCCCTTGTGTGCATAATGGGAAGCCTCCTGTTCTCCAGCCTTTTCCTCAGGACAAAAAAGCAAGGCCGAGAGGAGCCTTTGGTCAGACTCATCCCTGTGTCAGGGTCACTTCCTGGAGTAGAGACAACGTTAAATGCTGCGATAACCTCCTGCACCGTAGGCAGGGCTTCCAAGGAGCTTTCTTGTCAGTGTGGTTTCATTAACCATTTGTCTGATCAGATGCCACATGCAGGTTTCCCAGTATTGCTGCAGTGCATGTATTACTCTTGCTGTCTTGTCCTTTCATGTGTCTAGGGCTGAATTGTTTTGCTTCTACTGAGACATACTAGGAAAACTGCCAAACTGCAAGTAAATGGCTCCTAGTAAAATTTCTTATCTCCTTCTAGGCCACTACAAGGCACAGGAGCATTACATTTCAATACAAGAAAAACTTTTTTGCACACTTGCATAGACCTGATGTCTTCATTGCCTGGATAATGATGAACTTTCAATGCTAGTCTTGTACTTTCCTACATCTCTGTAGTTCCTGTCTGTCCTGATAACTGAGCATTGATGTACAAGGTCCCATTTCCTCATTCTGTCCCCTGCTTGTTCATCAGCAACAATTGGAAACAACTGCACTTGTTTTGACCAAACCAGACGCAGCCCTTTCCTGGGAGGGTAAGGTGATCAGTTACTCTATAAAAAGGGGAACCAGGAGCAAGTCTGACATGACAAGAAATCAAAGAACCAGAGCACTCATTCAATATGGCCTTCCATTGAAATCCCATAGGGAAAAGGCTGGTACTTCAGAGGAAAGGATGGGGGCCTGCCGGTCTGTGCCTCTCTACAGACTTCAGTTCTTCTGCCTTGTGTCTCAATAGAATCAGCGGTGGTGCTGGAGGAAGGGAGCCCGTCGGAAATGGAGCTAAAGGAAACCGAGTCCCCAGCTGAGTCTCCAGAGAGTGAGGACATTGAGACTTCGTGTTCTGAACAAGTCCTGAGCGAGGAAAGGTTTGGTAAACCCCAGGAGTCTTACAGCAGGGTAAGAAGAAACCAGTTCTATCCTCTATGACAGCCCCGTCTTTAGACACATGGGAGAATTGTGTGTGCTCTGATGGGTCCCTCTTGGCACCCTCTGAAAGAACTCACTAATGATACCAAAGTGCACATGCAGTCATGATTGAGAACTTGGATGGCTTGTGAGGGACTGCATGCAGAGCATCCACAGTAAATACCTGTTTTATGCAGGGTCCTCGATCCACATTGCTTTGTACTTGGCACCTTTCTGCTCATCTTTCACTGGAAGTGTCAGGGCGTACCTCGAGCGTTACTGTTGTCGGCTTTTATTTTGCATATCAGGAAAACTGCTCATCTTTGTTTCTCTCTCTTTAAGTCCTCTTCAACCTCCAGCCAAGAAGAAAAATCTCTGAAGTCGGAAGACTTGGTGGAGGGTGGAATTCCCATCGGGAGAGTCCTACCGTCAGAGGACGGCCGAACACTGGAGGAGCTTTCCTTCCAGCCATCCCAGCCGCTCAGCAAGTCGAGTTCTTCCCCCGAGCTACAGACACTGCAGGAGGTCCTCAAAGATGCAAATGGCAGAGAAGTAACAAGGAGGCTGAGCACAGAAGTGAAATCAAAATCCCAGTCTGGGAACCTGGAAGGGGAGGGCCTGGGCAGTTGGCTGGGCAAGGGGGAGGACGCCAGAGTGACTGGGTCAGGCGGGTTGGATGGCACCGGTCCCGTCACCTCACCTCGCTCCCCCTCTGGGCACCGGCCACGAGGATACACCATCTCTGACTCAGCCCCATCAAGGAGGGGAAAAAGGATCGAGAGAGATGCCTTCAAGAGCAGAACAGCAGCCTCCAATGCTGAGAAAGTACCCGGAATAAACCCAAGGTGGGTGATGGGGCTTATCTGAAGCTAGAAATGGTGAGCTCAGAATTGCTGCAGCCATGGCTGGATTTGGTCAAAATGGTTTGCTGGTTTTGTGGGATCTACAAAACAGTATCTAATTAAAAAGAAAGATGAATTACCTGTTTTTTCAGGAGCTAATACAGACATGTTGAACCCACTACCACCAAATTAACTTTGTGATTTAGGAAACGGGTCTCTTGGATGGTGAAAGAAGTAGAGAAATAGTTTCCTCATGTTCTTAATCTATCCCAATTTAGAGTCCAAATGCACGTGCGGCTTGAATGCAGGTCACCTAGAGTTAATTTTGCTGTGAACAGGATGAATAACTAGTCTTGCAGTTCAAGAAATACAATGTACAAAATACTAAGAAGGAGGAAAAGAAGGGGTTATAGTAGTTGCTTTTTGAACTTTAGATATTGGTAATTGCCAAAAATTGCATTATGAGACAATCTTCATCTTACTGAGGGCAGGTAAAATGCAAATGTCTGTAAAATCATTTATCTGCTAGGCTAGAAATACCCCCCACAGCTGTGAGGTGGGAGTGCATTCCTACTCCTCTGTTCTGTGCAAAGACTGCCTTTTGAACGGGGAATTTGTGCAGCTGCCACTGCTTGACATAACCATTGTTTATTATGACAGGGGTCTATTACAAACTGCAGGTAGTCCAGGCACCTGAAGTGTTTCTAGAAGACAAGTAATGCTCTGTTAGCATTTTAATTGCTCCTCTTTTTCTTCTGTACATAACATTCTTACATACAACAGATGAAAATTGACTTAATTTTTATGGTAACAGGACCTTTTCCCCCCCCTCTCTCCCTTAGCTTTGTGTTTTTGCAGTTGTACCACTCCCCATTCTTTGGCGATGAAAACAACAAGCCCCTCTTGTTGCCAAATGAGGTAGGCAAGGATTTTTTTTTAAAAGTCTTGTAGCTAATTTTCCTAACCTCATTACTTTTTTTGCATATAAATTAATAGTAATGAATGTCCATCTCAGATGGTGCAATTTAAAGGTGTTCCCTACCAACAGTGCTACGGATGGGAGATTTTCTGTACCCCAGTCCTGGTGGCTTCTGCTTTATGGCTCTGGATTGAATTTGAGATACTGGGAGATTTTGCTGGTGCTGTTTCAGAATCCCAGCCAGAGGGCAGGATGGTTTGTGGAGTTTTAGTTTTTGCTGGTAGGAAGAGTGCAGGATGAAAACGGAGCATTAGGTGATACTGGCAGAATGTCGCTAGACAAACCTGTCAGCCCTCTGTATAACTGGGAGTGGCCAAGAAGCTTTCTGTGGTCATATGAGAAATTAGTCATAAACTTCCTGCAGAAGTAGCGCTGGAATGGGGTTCTTGTGAACTGAGCACCACAGATCTCCTGCTGATAGTTTCCCCTCACTTTAGGTTCAGGTGGTCAAGCAGTAGGGAGCCTAGGTGAGATAAGGTGATGCCTTGTGCTGAAAAAGTTCTTCAGAGCAAGAGACATAATTTTTCATGCCTGGAGCTTAAATGAACGTACGATGTAATTTGTCATGGCCAGTGCATCTAGCCCATGCAGTTTGCCAGATTAATATCATCATCATCATCTATAAAACCAAGAAAGTGTGGCGACAGATGCCACACAGCACTGCTGTGTACCTTGGACTGCTGACGCACTGTGCCCTTGCAGAACACAGTAGGGCAGCATTCATCAAGGAAGACACTAGTGAAGGGCAGGAATCTGTGCTTACTTTGTGCTGTCGTTGTCCTGAAGGGTTTTTAGGGAGGGCAGTGGGTGTGTGGAGATAAGTCTTTAAAGATGTGACCAATGTTTTGATTGTAGACGTTTGAAAGATCGGTGCAGCTCCTGGATCAAATTCCTTCTTACGACACACACAAGATTGCAGTGCTCTACGTTGGAGAAGGCCAGGTGAGTTGTGTGCAGATGCTTTAATCCTTTAATGGTTACATCTCAACAGAAGGGCAGGCGTCGCTACTCCAGCTGTGAGATTTGTCCTGCTCCTGCAGTAGCCTTGCTTTTAGTTTCTTGCGCTAAAGAATCAGTGCCTGCATGAAGCCCTTCTAGGAAGGTAACAACCTAATCACTCGTGCTGATTGAGTGCTCTTAGCACTCAGTGTGGGACTCCCATGTTCTTGTTTCCTAGAGCAACAATGAAATCGCAATTCTGTCAAATGAACACGGATCCTATCGCTATACAGAGTTCCTGACTGGGTTAGGGAAGCTCATTGAGCTCAAAGACTGTCAGCCAGATAAGATCTACCTTGGTGGCCTGGACGTGTGTGGGGAGGATGGACAGTTTACCTACTGTTGGCACGATGACATTATGCAAGGTAAGGTGGGTCCAGAAGTTGGAAGTGGAAGGATGGTCTCTTCCCATCTTAAGACTGACCTGCCTTCTACAAACTGTTTCCTTTCCAGGGATGTAATAAAGATGACCTGGGGCTCTGTCTCCTCCCATTCTCTCTCTGGTATCTCTGCAAGCCATGTGGTAAAGTTTGGCAGAGGTGCATACCTGCCTTATTTAAGAGAAAAAAAAAAAATCACACCACTTACTTTTAAAATAGTCTGCTTTATTAAAGGTTGATATGGTTTGGTGTAGAGGCTTGTAGAATAAGCTGTTTGTTCTTGAGCTGCTCTGAAGGCTGTTAATTGAGGTTAATGTCTACATGTCAAAACTCTGCTAATGGTTTCTCTGAAGAGCAGTGTTGAAAGCAGGAGGGTTGTCATTACTGTGGTCATTGCTAATTGAACTGCAGCGTTACTCAGCTCCTGCAGCACCAAGCAGTGCAGATACCATCCAGGATCCAACAAGCTATGATGAACTTCCCAAATTGTTTCATACAGCTCTAGGCATCCCAGTCCTCATACTTAGCCCGGTTCAGTGGAGCAGCTGCAGGTTACGCGCGGTGGCCCTGGTGCTCTGCAGAGCTCAATTAGGGAAAGTTCTAGTTTAAGCTATTTAACTCCTCCTCAAACCAGATACTACTCACCATGCTACTGTGGTCATGGAAAAAAATAACCAACCCAAAGCACTTCTGCAGTCCCTTGTTCCTTTTCTGTGAACAGAGAGATAGCTACCCCAGCTTGATGAGAACGCTTCTTCCAGTTTGCATCAGGCACGTGCTGAAAGCCAGGTCCTTCATTCACTTTGCTGAGCCTGGTGCTAGAGAAGACTGTGCAGGGCACTACCTAAAAACTGGCAAAAGCAGAGCTTTCAGACGCTGCCTTTTTGCTGCCCACTGGAGCAATCCAGTGGGACTGGATTCAGCTGTCACAAATGGGGACAAACCTGCCAAGGGAGCACAACTTGCTTTTTTTTTTTTTATTATTGTGGAGCTGGTACTACTTTGTCTTCCAGGCAAGTGCTGTATGTTGACCATTGCTGCTTGCAGCGCTGATTTCCCAGGCCAGCCTAAGGATTTTTCTCTTTCCTCTTCAGCCATTTTCCACATTGCTACTTTGATGCCCACAAAGGATTTGGATAAATATCGCTGTGACAAGAAAAGGCACCTTGGGAATGATTTTGTTTCTATTGTTTACAATGATTCTGGAGAAGACTTTAAACTGGGAACAATAAAGGTACAAGATTTTACTCGTGGATGTGTTACAGAACAGGCATGTGGCTGTTCTGTAAAACCTTAATCTGATGTGCGTTATCTTAGCAAACAGTGTTGAGATCACGAATGGAGGTTATTTGCCTTGCTGGGTTGACATGCGTTAGTTTATGGCATTCCCAAGAATCGCAACGGCTGCCAGTAAAATGTGTATGGCTATTTTATTGTTTTCTCATTAGGGTCAGTTCAATTTTGTGCACGTTATCATCACGCCACTTGACTATGACTGTAACCTGGTGACGCTGCAGTGTCGGAAAGGTAGGAATCCCTCCAGCCTTTGTTCTCAGTCTTCCTGTACTGTGGTGCAATAACGGCCTTCACTTTGTGGAGGTTTTGTGTTTCAAAAATAAAAACTTCCAGGAGAAACTCTCTGAAACCAATTTGCTGCCCAGTTATGTCTGGATATGTCCCGTTCATATAACTTCAACAAGATAACAGGTATCTTCCCATTGTACCACGCATACCATCTTCAGGCTTTAAGACAAAGTGCCAGAAGAGTAGAGTAGGTCCCTCCAACAGTTGCTTGGGAATACTGGAGGAGAGATGAGGTGGAGGTCCCTGTGGCTTTGGCCTCTGCTGTCCTTTCCAGCACTGCAGGACCTGACACTTGGAAACCGATTGTGGCCCCGTGCAAGTTCAGCAGTGCTGGTCCAGGGATCTGCAGGGGTGTTTGCTTTCCTCTCACCAAAGGGGTGCTCCTGGGGTGTTTTTCACTCATGCTTTGGTTCAGGGGCTCTCCTCAAACCTTTACAGAGCAGCCAGAATTTCAGAGCCAGTTGTGTTAAGTTGCAGTGCAAGTTTTGTTACAGTTGGAGCTGTAGAGCTTGGTGGGAACTTCTGAGATTCTGTGATGTGGTTCCTCAGGTTTATATTACTTATCTAGTTACTGGCAACCTTTGGCTGGTTCTTAACTGTCTTACAAGAATTTTTTTCTTATTCCTTTAAAACGAAGACATGGAGGGTCTCGTAGACACGAGTGTCGCCAAGATCATCTCTGATAAGAACCTGCCATTTGTAGCCCGTCAGATGGCCTTGCACGCTAACGTGAGTACCCTGTCTGTCTTTCAGCTGGTGTCTTGGTCTATCACCAGCTTCTGAGAAAGTAAGTAGGGCTTGCTAAAGCAAATAAATTTTCTGCTTCAGTTATTGCTGTCAACCTTTAACTCAGAGTTAGCACATGAGCAGTTATAACTTAGAGCTGTATTTCAGTTGCTGTCCAACTATGCTGAAACGTTAATTTTATTGTTGTGGTTATGTTAATGTGCCTCCTCTCTTTCCGTGCTTGTCCCTACCCTTCCCAAATTAGATGGCTTCCCAGGTTCATCACAGTCGATCAAACCCTACTGACACCTATCCATCCAAATGGATTGCAAGGCTACGTCATATCAAGAGGCTAAGGCACCGGGTAAGTAAAGCTGGCTGTTCTAAATGTTTAGAACTGGGCTTTACCTTAGAGCCTTACTACAAGTAACGCGCATAAAATCACCTATCAGAATTTGCTCAATAAGAGGAGGAATATGGGTATGAAAGTTAGAATCCAGCTCTTGTGGGAATGACAAGTGTAGCGACGTAGGTCTGGACTTGGGAGCTTCCAAACAGCTTCCCTGGCAGCAAGGGGTTTGGGAACCCTAATATCTGGACACAGAGCTGCACCCACTCGGCACTGTGCTAGGGATGGAAGGACAAGCTGTCCTGAGTAGCCTGTCCTGTCCAAATGGAAAGCGAAAAGAGTTTCAGAGCGAGTGGAGCTCATCTGTTCTCGTTTTGACTTTCAGCTGCGTGAAGAAACCCAGTACCAGACTCCTGGCCTTCCCCTGCAGATGCATCCATCGGCTCCGACAAAGCCCCCTCCCCAGATCCCTCAGGACCCTCCACCCACCTACGAGACTGGACAGAGGAAGCGGCTGATCTCTTCGGTGGACGACTTCACCGAGTTTGTGTAGATCCCCGTGGGTGAGTGTGTCTGTTCTGGGACGGACGAGGCAACGAAAGCGTTTTACCAGTGTGCTGACACGCCACGGCTCCGTGGACATGGAGGAATAGCGTTTGGCAGGCGCGGTGTGGCTGTGCATGTGGACTCGACATTGAACCGTACCGGGAGGCTTAAGTGTTTCACTGTCTCAGCCTGCCGCTGGTCTCTGATGAGGACGCTGTATCCCCAGCAGATGCTCCAAGAGAGGTCCAACTGTTTTAGTTTTATTTGGTTTGAGCTATTTCAAGGCTTCCATCTCTGACGGGAACTTTTCTTGCAGAACCTTTCTTTGGACTCCTTCCACACCAGTGTCTGGTGGAAGCAGACAAAGTATGATATTCTGCAGTTCATCACGTAGTTGGAAGGTGCGGGAATTGCGGGAATTTTGTTGACTTTATTGGGAACGAAATACGAGGTACTGAAAATCCAGTCACTATTTCTAAGCACCCTGGAATCCCAGCTCCTCTCCAGGCCTCGGTGCCTCTCAGCACTTGAACTCTGCAGGCTCTCAGACTTGCTCTGCTGCCAGCTCTGGTAAGAGTTACTTTGGCATCTCAAGTGACCTGCCAAACATGCTGCTTAAATTCCCAAGGATTTGTCTCCATTTTGAGAGATTCACAGCAAACCCTCCCTCATTCAGCAGAAGGGGTTTTGCTCCCAGAAGTAACACAAAACAGGGAGGTGGATACCACTCTCCGGAGCAGCAGAATGGCGGAGAGCTGGGCCACAAATTCCTGGATGAATGGTCTGACCTCCTGGGCTAACTGCAAGGATTTAGCCAGAGGCCAGACCTGGCTTCTAGGTTCAGCTGCAGGTTTTCTACTGGTTGCAGCGATGCTGGGGATAACTCTTGTCCTTCCCTGTGCGCCCGGTAAATCCCTTTTTGAAAGACTGTTGACATGTCTTGGGGCATCATCTCTGAATGAGTTTTGCCTGTTGCACTAACGCATAGTGACGGTCTCTCCTCCTGGGACCCTGGCTGTCGAAGCAGTTAACAAGCGGTCCTTTCGGCTCACGCCTCTGCAGGTGGAATGGGATTATGTAGCCCATCTTGTGGTAAGATGGTCATCAGACACTACACTACCGAACTGGGAAGAAACCATGTAAGCTGGACGATACTGTGAGTTGCTTTATCTCCCGCTTTGTCAATAAAGGGGAAGCGTGGCTTTTTGGAACGGCTAACAGCAGCGCCCTGGCAATGGAGATGAAGACAAGTGCAATCTGCACATGAACTGTGATGTGATGGGCGAGGGGACAAAAGTGATGCTACTAGCTTGTGCAGGGCTGTTTGGGAACTCTAAATGTATGTTGTGTTTTGAGTGTTTATAAGTCGTAAAGGAAATAAAATATTCATAAGGTCAGTAGGTTCTTGCTGGCCTGGGAAGATTCAAACTGTGTTTCATAATAATGGCAATTCCTCCCTCCTTTCCCCGTTTAGTTTCCCAATCCGTAGTGCCCGTATTTCAGTAACCACCAGCCACACCACCCAGTGCTGGACGTGGTGTGATACCTGGCCGTGGTCGAGTCCCTGTACTGGGGAGATTCTCTCCAGTTCAGCCGCAGGTAACCTCTGTGCCGGGGGGCTTTTCTGTCGGCGTTTCCCACCACAAGTCAGCCAGAGCGGCTGGCTCGCCCTCGCCGGTGTCTGTGGCAGCCTGGGGCCCAGCGAGCCCTTGTGCCATACTCTGCCATGGCTGAGTCTCCTCTCCGTTGACGGCAGACCCTTCGCTAACAAGCTGATGTTGTTAATTACGGGTTGGCTGAGTTAAGAAAGTGTCCTGTGTTGTGCAGAAGACCTTCATTAAAATTCCGGTCACAGACAAAGAGAATGGCAGCGGGGTGGGGAGGAACATCTCTGGACCAGCCCAGCCCAGCGCTGCTTTGCCCCTGTGCCTTCGCTGAGCTCGCGCTGGCGGCAGTGAGTGGGCTGGGGCGAGCGTAACAAAAGCACCAGAGCCAGGTCGTAGCAGTCATCTTTTATTTGACCTTGTCATTTTTTAAGAAACATCCCCACAGTTACAAAATACGTATTTTTGTTTGCAGTGAAATGCTGACCAGACAGAAACAGTTGGCATATTGGTCACAATCATCTGTTGTTGTTTTTTTTTAAAAAAAAAAAAAAAAAGCACTTATATAAGTCCCTCCCTCTCCCTTTTAAACTAACGGGTAGGGTTTTTTTATTTAAGCAGCTTGATACTGTTGCATCTTTGTAAGACTTAAGACAATAAATAAGAAACCATCTCTTGGTGACTACAAACACAGAAATATACATTCAGGAGTAG